TTATTTTATAATATATTATTAATTATATTATTTTATAATATATTATTAATTACATTATTTTATAATATATTATTAATTATATTATTTTATTATATATTATTAATTATAATATTTTATAATATATTATTACTTATATTATTTTATAATATATTATTAATTATATTATTTAATAATATATTATTAATTATCATTATTATATGGCTTAACATTGTCATAATTATTTTCAATAGCACTTATTATTAATTATTTATTACTACTGCTAGTAGAATTTTTTGAGTTATAACACGACTAAATGTGTATTTTATTGGTTGCAGTCTATGTTTTATTTTTACATTCTTAAAAAGTGAAATAACTTATAATTACTTAACATAATTATATATATATTATATATAACTTAAGTTCCTCTTTTCATAGCTTTTTTTTGAAAAGTTTTTTTTTTGTGGACACAATATTTTTAAGAGTTTCAAGCTTTAAATCATCGTTTGGTTGGGGAATGGAAGGAGTACTGCCAATTAAACGTGATCTTCTTCGACCTTTTCTACTATAAACCGTTTCATTATCAACCACTTTACTCATGTAAATTGCCAATCCTTCACTCTTATTTGAATTGTTTTCCAGCGCTTCCGTCTTTAATACTGTAATTGTGTTTTTAAGAGATTGTTCAGTCGTTGGTTCTATTAGTTGGATATTACTAATAATATCTAGTTTATTTATATCGAATTGCTCATTTAAAGTATCGTTCTTACTATTACAATTTTCAGCATTTGTAGAAATTGTATTATTTAAATCAGCAAAATTTATAGAATAGGACATATGTTCATTTACATCATACGAAACTGAAATTTTAATATCTTCATTTGCTACTTGATCGCTTTTTACTATCTGATCTTGTGGAACAATTACTGTAATATTATTATTTTCATTATGTTTCATTATGTTATCCATATTTTCAAAGCTTATAGTGTCGAATGTTTCTTCCATTATTTGGACTTCATATGAATCAGCGGTCTTAATATCTGCACTTTTTGATTGATCGTTTTTTATCGTCTCATCTGATGTATAAAATTCAGTGCTCAGCACATTAAGGAAGTCATCATACATCGAATCTGGCATTTTATCAGTACTTTGTTCATTTATAATCTTCATTATATCAAAATCATCACTTATATCAATGATCTGCTCAAAATCAGTCTTACTATCCTCACTTGTTGAATTGGTTAATGATTCATTGGAACCTGTAAAAAAGAATAAAAAATTTTTATAGTTTCGTAAGTGGTTTTTAATCATAATTAGTATTTACTTTTACCTTTTTTAGTATTTTTAATGTTTTCAATGTTATTACTTTGCTTGGAAATTTCTTCATTTTTTATAGTTCTAATTTTCAGTGGCCCAAAAACATTCGGAATTTTAAATGAACTTCCTTCTTCAGTTTCAGTATTTGTTATTGCCTTTCTGTTGTTATTGGGGGAATTTGCTATAGGTTCATTTAACAATTTATAGGACATGTCGCATTTGGCAGCATACGCTTTATTGCTAAATGTTTCAGATTTACCTGCGGTAAGATTTGATAATTTTTTGCTGTCACTCATAGGACTTTCCACTAGTTTATTAGTGGCTGAGTGTATTTTTTTATTATATACAAGTGGAATTACTTCTACCGGGTCTTTAGAGAGCTTAATCTTCTTTTTACGTTTTTTACGCTGTTGAGTTTTTGCCACTGGCTTAGTATCTGTAATAATGTTATTTGTTCCAGAAATGTTATTTGTTCTAGAAATGTTATTTGTTCCAGAAATGTTACTTGTTCCAGAAATGTTACTTGTTACAGAAATGTTATTTGTTCCAGAAATGTTATTTGCTAAAGTTACATCAGAAATTTGGGGATCAAACGATGGCATATCTATCTTGATATTACCATAACTTAAATGATGTCCAAAATGATTATCATTAGCAGAAATATCTTTAGTTGTTAAAGACTCTGCATTTGGTTTTTTAATAGTTGATATAGTGGACCCTTGAAGTTCACCACAAGCTTTAGATTGAACTATTTTTGTTTCACGTGCTCTTTTTATCTTATTACGATCCTTAAAGTAAGTATGATCAGACGATCCACTCATTCCTGTATTCGTAGACTGGGTATTTAAATTTTTATTAACTGATACAGAAAACGTTTCACCTAAATCAGGAATAGTTTGGTTCGCTGATTGGTGTGATTTATTAAAGCTGGAGGAATGTGGAGGTGTATCAAAAATTTCTGTACGATTCACAATGTTTTCTTTTATAGTAATGACCTGACTGGCATCAGATAGCATAGAGGATATATCTGAGAATCTTTCTATATGTTCTGTGGTTTGTGTCTGTTCTTCAATTGGATCAAAAATAGAAATAACATTAGCATTCTTTTTTACGGACTCATAATTAAAGTTTATATTTGATATAGGAAACGCTAGATGTTCATCACAAACTTGTAATTGCACTCCAATTTCTTTTTTTCTATGACTGTCAACAGATAGGTTACATGGCTTTACCTTACATATTTCATTTTCTCCACCGGAAGCGTGGTCTTCGGATTCTCTACGAAAACTTTTTGCGAATGTTGCTGTTTTTGTACATTGATTTATCGATTCAGAAAAGCCATTAACATTTCTAGTTACAGACTCGTAATCAGTGTTTTTATTTGATACAGAAAATTCTGGATGCTTATTACAAATTTCTGGTTGTACTGTAGTCTCATATATTCCATTAAAGTCATAACTGACATCAAATAAATCAGGTAAGCCAGGTGACTTCAGGTTGCAAATTTCCTCTTCTACACAAAAAGGTGGACTTTTGGAATTTGTATGTGGCCATTTCGAGTGTGTTGATGGTTTCATCTGTTGATCTATCGATTCAGAATAACCACTAGCATTTATAGCGGCAGGATCATCAGGGTTTTTACTTGATACAGAAAACCTTGTTTCATATATTTCGTTAAAGTAATGACTTTCATCAGATATTACAGGTGGACTCAGTGACTCTGTCATTCGAATTCCACTTTCTTCACCGGAGATGTCACTTTTAGATTTTGTATGTGACCATTTCGAGTGTGTTGCTGGTTTCATCTGTTGATCTATCGATTCAGTATAACCACTAGCCTTTATAGCGACAAGATCATCAGTGTTTTTATTTGATATAAAAAATCTTTGCTGCCCATCACAAGCTCTTAATTGTACAGCAGTTTCGTTTATTCCATTAAATTCATAATTGTTATCAGACAGATCAGGTAAGCCAGGTGAAGGTGACTTCATCTTGCGAATTTCATTTTCACCACAAAAAGATGGACTTTTGGAATTTGTATGTGACCATTTCGAGTGTGTAGATGGTTTCATCTGTTGATCTATCGATTCAGAATAACGACTAGACTTTATAGCCATTGGATCATCAGTTTTTTTACTTGATACAGAAAACCTTTGCTGCCCATCACAAGTTTTTAATTGTACAGCAGATTTGTCTATTTCATTAAGTCCATAATTGTTATCAGACAAATCAGGTAAGCCAGGTGAAGGTGACTTCATCTTGCGAATTTCATTTTCACCACAAAAAGATGGACTTTTGGAATTTGTATGTGACCATTTCGAGTGTGTAGATGGTTTCATCTGTTGATCTATCGATTCAGAATAACGACTAGACTTTATAGCCATTGGATCATCAGTTTTTTTACTTGATACAGAAAACCTTTGCTGCCCATCACAAGTTTTTAAATGTACACCAGTTTCGTCTCTTCCATTAAATCCATAATTATTATCAAATAAATCAGGTAAGCCAGGTAAAGGTGATTTCATCTTGCGAATTTCATTTTCTCCACAAAGGGATTGACTTCTGGGTTTTTTAACTGGCATCTTTGAGTGTGCTACTGGTTTCCTCTGTTGATCTATCGATTTAGAATATGTAGTAGCCTTTCTAGCGACAGGATCATCACTGCTTTCATTTGATGTAGAAAACCCTGGATGCTCATCACGAATTTTTGATTGTAACCTTGGTTCATATATTTCGTTAAAGTCATGACTTTCATCAGATATTACAGGTAGACTCAGTGACTCCGTCATTCGTATTCTATTTTCTCCACCGAAGGTGTCACTTCTAGATTTTGTACATGACCATTTCGAGGGTGTTGGTGATTTCATCCGTTTATCTATCAATTCAGAATAACGACTAGCCTTTATGCCGACAGGATCATCGGTGTTTTTATTTGATACAGAAAACCTTTGCTGCCCATCACAAGCTTTTAATTTTACAGCAGTTTCGTTTATTCCATTAAATTCATAATTGTTATCAGACAAATCAGGTAAGCCAGGTGAAGGTGACTTCATCTTGCGAATTTCATTTTCTCCACAAAAAGATGGACTTTTGGAATTCGTATGTGACCATTTCGAGTGTGTAGATGGTTTCTTCTGTTGATCTATCGATTCAGAATAACTACTAGCCTTTATTGCAACAGGATCATCTGTGTTTTCATATGATACAGAAAACCTTGTTTCATATATTTCGTTAAAGTCATGACTTTCATCAGATATTACAGGTAGACTTAGTAACTCCGTCATTCGTATACCATTTTCTCCACCGGAGGTGTCACTTTTAGATTTTATATGTGACCATTTGGAGTGTGTGGATGGTTTCATCTGTTGATCTATCGATTCAGAATAACGACTAGCCTTTATAGTCATTGGATCATCAGTTTTTTTACTTGATACAGAAAACCTTTGCTGCCCATCACAAGTTTTTAATTGTACAGCAGATTTGTCTATTTCATTAAGTCCATAATTGTTATCAGACAAATCAGGTAAGCCAGGTGAAGGTGACTTCATCTTGCGAATTTCATTTTCACCACAAAAAGATGGACTTTTGGAATTTGTATGTGACCATTTCGAGTGTGTAGATGGTTTCATCTGTTGATCTATCGATTCAGAATAACGACTAGACTTTATAGCCATTGGATCATCAGTTTTTTTACTTGATACAGAAAACCTTTGCTGCCCATCACAAGTTTTTAATTGTACAGCAGATTTGTCTATTTCATTAAGTCCATAATTGTTATCAGACAAATCAGGTAAGCCAGGTGAAGGTGACTTCATCTTGCGAATTTCATTTTCACCACAAAAAGATGGACTTTTGGAATTTGTATGTGACCATTTCGAGTGTGTAGATGGTTTCATCTGTTGATCTATCGATTCAGAATAACGACTAGACTTTATAGCCATTGGATCATCAGTTTTTTTACTTGATACAGAAAACCTTTGCTGCCCATCACAAGTTTTTAATTGTACAGCAGATTTGTCTATTTCATTAAGTCCATAATTGTTATCAGACAAATCAGGTAAGCCAGGTGAAGGTGACTTCATCTTGCGAATTTCATTTTCTCCACAAACGGATTGACTTCTACGTTTTTTAACTGACCTCTTTGAGTATACTACTGGTTTTATCAGTGGATCTATCGATTCAGAATAACCATTAGCCTTTATAGCCATTGGATCATCCGTTTTTTTACTTGATACAGAAAACCTTTGCTGCCGATCACAAGTTTTTAATTGTACACCAGTTTCGTCTCTTCCATTAAATCCATAATTATTATCAAATAAATCAGGTAAGCCAGGTAAAGGTGATTTCATCTTGCGAATTTCATTTTCTCCACAAAGGGATTGACTTCTGGGTTTTTTAACTGGCATCTTTGAGTGTGCTATTGGTTTCCTCTGTTGATCTATCGATTTAGAATATGTAGTAGCCTTTCTAGCGACAGGATCATCACTGCTTTCATTTGATGTAGAAAACACTGGATGCTCATTACGAATTTTTGATTGTAACCTTGGTTCATATATTTCGTTAAAGTCATGACTTTCATCAGATATTACAGGTAGACTCAGTGACTCCGTCATTCGTATTCTATTTTCTCCACCGAAGGTGTCACTTCTAGATTTTGTACATGACCATTTCGAGGGTGTTGGTGATTTCATCCGTTTATCTATCAATTCAGAATAACGACTAGCCTTTATGCCGACAGGATCATCGGTGTTTTTATTTGATACAGAAAACCTTTGCTGCCCATCACAAGCTTTTAATTTTACAGCAGTTTCGTTTATTCCATTAAATTCATAATTGTTATCAGACAAATCAGGTAAGCCAGGTGAAGGTGACTTCATCTTGCGAATTTCATTTTCTCCACAAAAAGATGGACTTTTGGAATTCGTATGTGACCATTTCGAGTGTGTAGATGGTTTCTTCTGTTGATCTATCGATTCAGAATAACTACTAGCCTTTATTGCAACAGGATCATCTGTGTTTTCATATGATACAGAAAACCTTGTTTCATATATTTCGTTAAAGTCATGACTTTCATCAGATATTATAGGTAGACTCAGTGACTCCGTCATTCGTATTCCATTTTCTTCACCGGAGGTGTCACTTTTAGATTTTGTACGTGACCATTTCGAGTGTGTTGATGGTTTCATCTGTTGATCTATCGATTCAGAATAACCATTAGGCTTTGTAGCCATGGGATCATCAGTTTTTTTACTTGATACAGAAACCCTTTGCTGCGCATCACACGTTTTTAATTGTACAGCAGTTTCGTCTCTTCCTTTAAATCCATAATTGTTATCAAATAAATTAGATAGGTTAGATGATTTGATGTTGCGAATTTCATTTTCTCCACAAAAGGATTGACTTCTGGGTTTTTTAACTGGCCTCTTTGAGTGTGCTACTGGTTTCCTTCGTTGATCTATCGATTCAGAATAGGCTCTAGCCTTTATAGCGACAGGATCATCAGTGTTTTCATTTGATACAGAAAAACTTGTTTCATATATTTCGTCATCGCTTTCATCAGATATTATAGGTAGGCTCAGTGACTCCATCATCCGTATTTCATTTTCTCCACCGGAGATGTCACCTTTAGATTTTGTACGTGATCCTTTCAAGTGATTCGCTGTTTTTATCCATTGATATATCAACTCTGTGAACTCATTAACTGTTCTAGACACAGACTCATAATTAGGGTTAATATTTGATAGAGAAAACACTGACGGCTCGTGAATATTAGGGTTCGCCTTAATTGTATTACTTCCATTAAAGTTATGTCTTACATCTTTCTTATATTTTTTGTTGGATATTTCGCTTTCGGATTCTTCACGTGACCTTTTCAAGTGTTTTGCTTTTTGTGTTGATTGATTTGTTAACTCCGAAAAATCATTAGCTGTTCTAGTTACAGAGTCGTAATTGGAGTTAATATTGGAAATTGAAAACACTGGACGTTCATTAGAAATATTAAGGTTTGCCTTAATTTTATTATTCTTATTACAGTTATGATTGATACCAGATATTACTGATGAACTGTCTGACTTGAAAGACTTAATATTGTTAGTTTTCGAAATTTGTCTGGAATCTACAACTTGATTTTCTGAACTCGTATTTGTGTAAACTGAGCATGACTTAGGTGATAAGAGACTGGATTTTGCTGTTCTCGCAAGTTTTAATGAGCTTGAAACTGAGTTTGGGTCCATAAATTTAAGATTATTCTCGTGATTGCTTGCTGGAAATGCTCTTGAATTTTCGTTAAAATTTTTTTGTGTGATTTCCAACTTGTCACCAATCACCGACATAGGTAAGTTATTTAAATATTTAGCATGAACGTCATTTGTTTTTAAATCTTCAGTTTCCATGTTAATATTCGTTTTACCATTAGAAAAGATACCACTGACAGATGCTCGCACCGTTATTGAAAACTTAACTACACGTTTTCCTTCTTTATCTAATGGCAAAGCGCTTGAAAAATTATTGTTGGCGGGAAAAATAAAATTTCGTTTTGATTTCATGATTTTGCTTAACAGACTAACTTCACTACAAGTTTTCAATTGAAATTTTTTTATTTTTGGATATTCCGCATTGTTGTTTGAATTCATAGCGTTTAAACTTTTATCATTTTGATTTTTTATAGCAGCTTCGGCAAATAATGGATATAGGCAATTAATGTCTTCACATCTCAGGATTGCAAAATTGGTTTCTATATAAAAAATACATAACTTATTCGTGCGTCCTTCTTTATAACATTTTGGACAGATATCACCAGCTTGACTTATACAAGCATTAACAAAAAAAATTTCATTTTTTAAAGCATGAGCTGCAATATCTATTCCACTATCATATTGATCTTTGAAATTGAAATATTGCTCATTAAAATAATTATTTGGAATTAGTTTTATGTCCATATTAGGCTTGAAGTCATCTTGAATTTCTTTAAGAGGAGTCAACAAATTGTTTGGATTTAATTTATGATTGCTGTTCAAAAGTACATACTTTGTATGGTTGTTTAATGACTGGTCATCCCTTGGAGCTACTGCACCAGGCATATTTACAGTATTAGAAACATCAACGTTAGCTTCCGTAACGTAAAAACATTCGTTATTCTCACATCTTAAAATATTTTTTGGAATTAAGAAGTGAGATTTGCCGTTTTTAGAGCAAGCAGGACAACACTGTCCAACTTGTGACATATTTCTACGGTCCATTTGAATGCGTTTTGTCATTATTTAGCCTTTAATTTTCACCAATTTGCTGCAAACAAAAATACACAATAATTGATAAAGATTTACAATAAAATGTTTAAAGTATTTTCGCACAAACAAAACTTACTCAATATCTTTACTCCAGGCAATAACTCCATTATCTTTTAAAGTACAGCAACTGAAGACTGCATAAGCAGTATTTATTGTTTTCATATTAACAAATAATTCCCTAAAGATTAAATCAATGAATATTAAAGTATTTAAGTGATATTGTTTAAAACGTGCATATGTTGGAACTGTCAAAATCATTTACCGGCAAAACACAGCAAAAATAGTTTTGATATTTATCTTGATTTACGAAATGTAATCAAAACTGTCTGTAATTTTAATAATCTTAATTTGTTTTTATTTACACATTAACACTGCTTTTGCATGCAATAAACAATTTTAATCACAAAGAAACAATGAAATTTAATGTATTTTTCTGCGAGACTAGCAACACAAGTAAGAACATATAAATGTCAAGTGTGGAACTTAATCTTTGCTAGTGTTGTCTAACGTATATATAATTTTTAACACATTCATGGGTTGCCATGTTGGGTTTACATACATTAGGCGGCATGGGTTTTTAACATCTTTTGACTTAAATGCTCCAATAGAACATCTTTTGGTGGTCAAGGATGCGTGTGAGTTCGAGTAAATTAAAGTTAAATTAAGGGAAATAGTAAATTATGTCGATATGGCAACGAATGTTGGTATTTACCAGAATTTCGAGAAGGATAGATTAGATAAAAACTAGGTAAATTAGGTGTTACCATTGTGAATATTTTATAAATTGTTTAATAAATAAATAAATAAAATAATAAATAAGTGCAATAAATATATATTTACATAAGTGCAGTGCAAAAAATCTCAAGGATATTTCAATTTACTCTACCTCAATTTACTTGAACTCGCACACGACCATAATTTTTAAACTTTCAACATCACTAGTTATTGCTAAATGAATAGTATTTAACAATGTTTTATTTTTCTTGCATTTGTCTTATAACTTTTTGCTTTTATTTTAACGATTGTGTTTTGTATTTATTCATGTATTGAATTTTTAAATGAACACAGACTCTAAAAATGAGTGGTTTTAGCAGTATATTGACAACGCTAAACACGAACTAATCCTTTCACTTTAAGGAACTAGAGTTAAGTGTAAGATGTGATGAACGGTATTCTGAATTTATAGTTTTTATAGAAAATTTACCATATATTAAAAAATTTGTTCAAGAAGTTATAATAATCTAGAACAATGTATGGAACATATGTAAAGTAGCTAGAAGTTGAAATTGATGAAATTTGTTGCAGCATATATAATCAGTAAGCTTCAGCAGGGCAAACAACTTACATGACTTGACCAAAAAACAAACAATTGAGCAGAAATGTTGCTTACGGTCTCCCAATACAATACTTAAGATGGATTTCGGACAGATCCATCTTTTGAGTTTGTGTGTTTAACGTTTTTAATTAAAACGCATTTAATTTCTTTCAAATATTTCTATAGACGACTAATGATAAATATTTGGCAATATTCGAAACAGCTGTGTAACAGAAACATGCACAAGTAATTTCAGTAATGGCGCCAGCCAACACTCAGCATCGTATTAATTTGACCTATATGGTATTCAGCCCAATATATATACATATGTTAATTAAGTGAATGTAAATTTTTGTAGTTAAAATATGTATTCACTATAAACCATTTTTCTATACGAAAATAGATGACGTCATAAATGTATTATTTTATTTAATATTCTTAATGAATTACGGTTAAAAATTTTTTTTAAAATTACTTTAACTGAGTATATTATTATCTTAGTTGTGTGAGATTAAATTTGTCGCAATATTAATAATACGATCCACACAATTAATTGTCAATTGCAACTCTGAAGAAAGTCCACAAAATCATATGTTTCCTTCTCTTACTTGACGTGCTTCTGATTAAGGAACGTTGGATCCGAAGGTCTCGTTGTTTTTGATACTTTTTTTTAATTAAAAACTATATTTGTTTGCAAAATGGCAATGTCTAACGATGCTAAAGAACGTCTCGAATTTGTATTCGAAATTGCTAAGACGACTTTCCATTATGGTTTTATACCATTTGTGCTGTATCTGGGTAAGTTGCCGAATGAACGTTTGTGCTTACTTATGTAAATAAAATTTGCTTCTTCTTAGGATTTCGAAAGGGAGCCGAACCGGGAATGCCACCATTAACTTTGCTTAGCTTGTTATGGCAATAATTTATATTATAAATAATAAGTATAAAAAATGTTAATAAATTTAAGTTAACCGAATCGAGCAGTATTTGTCATTTTTGGCTAGATTTCACATTTTGTGTTAGTTCTTACATACACTGCGATTTGTGATTAGAGTTCAGCAATTAATAATATATTTAAGTTAGTGTTAAAACTCTAAAAATTAACTATGTTATTAATTTATTTTTTTAACTTATTAATCGAATTGCATATCAAGCATATAAACTTGATTATTCGTGTTTAAAATACTGAGGTTTTGCAGAATTTGTGTGCTTTCTGTAAATAATAAATATAGATTTGTTATTTGCACTTTCCATGTTTTTTTAAAATTATAACGTAAAAAAATATAGACAAAGTTTTGAATTGTAAATGTCATAGCTGTAAGAGGATGAAATATATTAACAATTGCTTTGTAATTGTGGAGTACATAAGACGCGTTGATGAAGCATACTAGGATTTACTTTCTAGATGATCTTAGTCAGCAGTAAGATTTCGCTTTAAAGATAGTCAGTTGCTTTATGAATAGCTTAAAGTGATTTTTCACCATAAGGTTTATACGTCGATACAATGGCGTAGTAAACCTATATGTATTCATGTTGTTTTTGTAACTCGTTGAGACCTACTTGTGAAGTTTCTTTGCTAGGTGTTAAACTGCACTTGGTCGTTGCTGGTGACGTGTGGCTCCAGTATGTAGACCAGGCCGTTCTTGGAACCAAGTGGATTTACAGACTTATTTTAATAACCTAATTTTACATAGTTGCATATAAAGGTGTTAAAATTAGTTATATTTATATCTTGGAAAAAAGTTTATTTTGTTGCAAATGCCAATATGGAGAGGAGAAGTAGAATGCAAAATGTTGAATAATTTTAAATTTGTTATCTTCCTGCTGCTCGATAACATCGACGATTGAGATCGATTTTCAACGAGAGAAACTAAAAAACATTTTAAAAATAATTCGACTACTTAAAATCATTCATGATAAGTTTTTTTTCGGAAAATAGTCTATAGAATCGTGTTCGCCTATACGCTTTTATCGAATTTTTTCTTTAAAACAATATATATGAATATTAAAACAAAAATATATATATATATATATTAAAACATGTACATAT